TGTATTAAAATCAATATCAAGCTTACTGAGTAACACTGTAGGAGAAAAAAAGTACTCCCCACTACTAATGTAAGAGTTAAGAAAATAAGTTTCAAAAATTCACATATTTATGAGGATGCTCTGGTAGATGAAATAAGAGTCTAAATTGTGCAGTGACCGTGATCCTCTGTTTTACTTTGTCATAAACCTGATATTAAGTATGAAACGAGTAAGAAAATATTGAAACTTAAGCAAAATAGTTTCAAGTATTCTTATACAAGGCATCCAACAGGAAGAAAGGTATCTATGCTATCAAATTAGATTACGGGAAAAATTCCCTCTATTTTACTTTATTTAATGTGGCACATAAAGAAAATCCAGCACAAATATCTGTCTTTAATTTCTCTAGTGTAAAAAAGAAATATATTGTGTCTGGCAGAATGAAGCAGATGAAATAGCTTAGGTGAATTTTAAAAATGGGGGTGGAGGGAGAAATCAGATGCATACAATGAGCCTTCAAAGCCACTCCAGCAGTAGGGATAAATAATTTAATAAACTCAACTTCATATTCTTTCTATCTCCCCAGTGTAATAAACACATATTAAAAAAAAAATCTCTAAATTCATGAATACTTGTGAATAGCAGGCAGCAGATAATGAAAAAACACAAAACAATATATATTTGCGCATTTAACATGTGTGCTTATCCTCTAACAGATACATTTCACCAGACGAAAGATCACAATTGCTTAAATTTATGAACAGTGTAACTCAAATTTAAATTAGTTTTTTTAAAAACAGTCTTGTATTCCTATATTTCTCAACATTACAGGTTTTTTTAAAAACCTAATAAGGTACTATTTACCCATTACTTTGTGTTTTCCACATATGCAGGTTTTAAGAAGGGACAATAAATTACCTAGGAAATAATATTTCATGAACAATGATTTACACCATTATTTTGAATGCTATTAAGTATTAAGGATCACAATACTGAATTATTTTATATTCACTAATAATGCTAAAATTCATCTTGTGACATTTTTGGCATCTTTCCCCAAATTTGATACATTTAAAATCAAAGTTGCCTAAAAAACTAAGTAACAGAATCAAAAAGAGTCAAGTCCAAGCTAGACCTTAAAACCCCAAATACCATTCCAATGTATCTCAAACTATCATTAAATCAGGAGATCCTTGTGTGAGATTCCCCCCCCCCTTCCATTAGGTCAGTTTTCTTCAACTATCATTCTATTATTAGCTCTCGTCAAAGATGCCTGAGCAGTATACCACTGTAAACAAGTAAGCAGTTATATTCTGAAGCAAGGTACACACATAAGCTTTTTTCCTAGTACTAATTGCTAAGATGATACTTACAGTAAAAAACATGTAAGTAAAACTGGGTTTCCGTACATTCATTTTATAAACTTTTCACATAAGTAAATAAGTTCATTTTACAACATTTTTTGTTGTTACAAAATCAGTTACAAAATCAGTTGAAATAACTAGTTCCACAGGCCAAGAGATATTTGAAAAAAATTTACTGTAAAATAGTTAATGTTATTCCCACCAAACCAAACCACTCTAACTCCAAAGCCTAAATTAAAATCGACTGAATCACACAAAACAGAAATATAGAAGAGTTTAATATATATATATTATACAATATATAATATTATATATATATATATATTCTGAACTCTTCTCCATCGGTCATTTCAATAAAAAAAAAAAAAAGTGTGTAGGCTAGGGAACACCACGGAATAGTTTAATTTTCTCTTCAACAATGAGAGGTGTCTAAGATCACTCAGCTACACAAGGCAATTCATTTCACGTGTTCAGTGTAATAGAAAATCACTGTGTTGCAGCAACAAGCAGTACTTGCACTAGAGTATTATTCTAGGGCGCCCAGTTCACCCTCCGTGATAACAGCGGGGCGGTGAATCTATGTTATGCAAATCACTGTCAACTCCCTGAGCGAAGGGTGCTGAAGAAAGCAGCTCAGAAAACAGTCCTGGTTTCCCCGAAACCGAATGACTTCACTTCCCTTGAACACTCGGGGACTAACGAGTTTTTCAGTCCTTTTCTCACCATCCATTTTTCTTCTTCAAAGTGCAAATCGTTAGTGAAAAGGGCCCAGTTACACCAATTAGTTTGCACAAAGTGCTTCAGTGTTTAGCGTCGCTTTAACCCAATTAAGCCGCACAGTGAGCCCGAAGATGCGCCACCTGCGCGCCTGGCTCCGGCGAGGCCCGACCGGCGCCCCCAACGCATCCTTCCCGCCGCACCCACCCGGCGGCCGCGTCGGGTCCCTCGAAACGCCCCCGGACGTCCACGCTCCTGGCTGCTTCGCTGCCTCGCCCCGCCGGGGTATCTGCAGGTGGCCCAAGAAGTCCAGGGACGAGGTGTTGGCGGAGCAAGTCTGGCCTGAACCCCAAAGAGGGGCGCGGGGCGCGGGGCGCGGGGCGGGCGGCTGCAGCGGGAAAGCTCCGGGCTCGGCCGCCACCGCACGAGGGCCGGGGCGGCCGCCAGGGCTGGGGGTGTGGGCAGAGATCCCGGCCCGGAGCAGACCTGGGGAAACCCCGGATGCAGATAAAGGTTTAAAAATAACCCGCTCGCAGGAAAATCGCCTGTGGGGCGGTGAGCAGGGCGGTGAGAAGGATGGCCCGGGGAGCGCAGCATCGGGAGAGGGACCCAGCGGGTAACCCTTGGGGACCTAAGCTGAGGTGGGCCAGGGGTGGCTTCCCCCGGAGGCTGCAGCACAACACCTCAGCCTTCGCAGGGCGGTTCTCCGGATCTGATTTCCCTCCCCTTCCTTCCACTGCCAAAAGGTAGCAGAGCGTTCACCCACAGCGCCCGCAAAATGGGGAGGAGGGGCGGGTCCGGTGTTCCCCATCCCTTCTCCCAAGGTAATGGGAGTTCTTGGGGACTGGAGTAGATGGATGCCGTGGAACCCTAAATCTAACGTACTATTAATATATTTTTAAGCTAAATTAGAATCCATCGATCTTGGATAGCGAGAAAGTAAATAATAGGTGGCTTTGTGATGCTGTACCCGGGCAAAACACAAATCAAAAACTTAAGTACAAAGTGTTAAGTTCTGAACAAGAACCCTTTAAAAGTGGCTTTGGGGAAAAAAAAAAAAAAAAGGTCTACAAGCCAGTTGCTACTAGAAACTATCGTTTTTTTGTTTTTGTTTTTGTTTTTTTTGCCAGAAATATTCTCAATTGAAATTAAAGACAGGCAAAGTAAAAATCTGCCCAGGTTTTAAAACAACCTCATAACCCTAAGCAGTATTTCTTTCGTTTCCTATACATTAAGGATACAATTGGTACCACCAGAAAAAAAAAAAAAATCGACACAAGTCCATTTCCCCCAGTTGTTTTAAGGTTCCAACATTTAGAAATGTTGATTTCCCTAAAGAATCTCCAAAATTATATTTAAAATAAAAAACCTGGATGACTGTAAATTGATTTTCCTTTAAAATCTTAACTATTTCCTTTTAATCAAATCACATGAAATGGCATAAAATTAGAAGTCTACTGTCAGCTCACCACTAAGAACACTTAAAGAGAGGAGATAGAGCCTTAATTATATATTTGTAAACAAGTCAGAAACTCAAAATGTCAACCTTTTTAGGACAGTTATATGCCAGTAGGTCTCATCACTGTAATCTCTCCTGAATTTCATGTATTAAAATACCTAGTTCACCCTGGATGCATTAAAATAATCTCTCCATCACAGAACATTCATTTTCAAATATTTCCACCACTGCACACAAAACTTAGTGTCCTGCTTATACTGCTGGGCAATCCACTAGGCACAAGGAGGACTGCAGATGGTGGTGTGTGGAGGGGGGGATTCTAACATTTTTTTAAAAAACATCCCAACAGAAGGCATTCACAATAATTTTCAGATTCCTTTCAACAATGGCAAATGAGGATAAGGCGGAAGCAAAGCGCTGCACAGTGTTCAGAGAAATGATTCTGACATAGAGGAACATCCAGAAAATTACACAGGTATTGGTCCAGCTAATGCCAACTCGCAAATACAAGGAAGAGGGAACTTTTAACCAGCATTTAAAAGGACCTGGAGGATTAAGAGACATTAATTATCTTACTCTAAGTGCAAGTTAGTGACTTTTGTTTTACAAAAACCCTATCTAGTTTGCTAATTGATGGATGACCATTAATACACCTGTATTTGCATTTCCCCAGTAAAAAGACAAGCAGGGTTTTCAGCACAGAAGAAAAAACCACTGTGCCAAGTCTCTTCGAAATGTCAATATGCTTCAAGTAATACCAAAGCTGAGAGATTCCTCTTGATTTCCAAAACTGTCTAGGTGGCCTGGGTGATTTTCTGCCGCCAGCAGCCTCCTACCTTTAGTTTGTGTGCCTCTATCCATAAGGGGGGATTAATTAGCCGGATTGGAGCTCAAGGAGGCTGTTGTGACGAGCCCGGTGGCGATTGGCCGCCAGCCTGCCAGGCCCTGCCTTTATAATTTCCACACGAGTGCATCTGGGCTCTCAGACAAACCAACAGCAGCTTCTTCTGACATATACACACGCACACTCACCCCCAACACACACACACACACTCTGCACACTTTTTCCTCCATCCGATTAACAGTCCTGCACACACAATGATTACGGGAAAGCGTAAATAAACACGGAAAGGGTTGATTATTTTGACTACTGGAAGAGCTTTGCTGGGGCTCAGCACAACTTTTGTTTTTATTACTGAGAAGGTAATCTCCCTAAGCGTTTCTCTCACACCAGGATTCTTTAAAAGAAGAAGCGAGACCGAGAGAGGGGGGAGAACAGTCTTTCACTTTAAGACCGGCTGGGCTCAAAGATAAAAGGAAGGGGGAAGCAGCAGCTAGGAATTCACTGCTGCAGCACATCGGAAAGACGCTTTTTGATACATTTCTTGAGCGCGGCGGCCCGTTTCTCCACCGAAGTTGGCGCCAGCTCTAGCAGCCGCATTGGATCCCACAGCTTACTGCGAGACTCCGGTGTACAATCCGGATCTCTGCCCCAACATGATCGCGGCCCAGGCCAAGCTGGTCTACCATCTGAATAAATACTACAATGAGAAATGCCAAGCCAGGAAAGCTGCCATTGCCAAAACTATCCGGGAAGTCTGCAAAGTTGTTTCCGACGTACTTAAGGAAGTGGAAGTCCAGGAGCCCCGGTTCATCAGCTCTCTCAACGAGATGGACAATCGCTACGAGGGCCTCGAGGTCATCTCCCCCACCGAGTTTGAAGTGGTGCTTTACCTTAACCAAATGGGGGTGTTCAACTTTGTGGACGACGGCTCCCTGCCCGGCTGCGCGGTGCTGAAACTGAGCGACGGGCGCAAGAGGAGCATGTCCCTCTGGGTGGAATTCATTACCGCCTCCGGCTACCTCTCGGCGCGCAAAATCCGGTCCAGGTTTCAGACACTGGTGGCTCAAGCGGTAGACAAATGTAGCTACAGGGATGTGGTAAAGATGGTGGCAGACACCAGCGAAGTGAAACTGAGAATCCGAGATAGGTACGTGGTGCAGATCACCCCGGCTTTTAAATGCACCGGGATCTGGCCGAGGAGTGCTGCCCACTGGCCACTTCCCCACATCCCCTGGCCGGGACCCAACCGGGTGGCGGAGGTCAAAGCCGAAGGGTTCAATCTCTTGTCCAAGGAGTGCCACTCCCTGGCCGGCAAGCAGAGCTCGGCCGAGAGCGACGCCTGGGTGCTGCAGTTTGCGGAAGCAGAGAACAGACTGCAGATGGGGGGCTGCAGAAAGAAATGCCTCTCCATCCTTAAAACGTTACGGGATCGTCACCTGGAATTGCCCGGGCAGCCCCTGAACAATTACCACATGAAGACTTTGGTTTCCTACGAGTGTGAAAAGCATCCCCGGGAGTCGGACTGGGACGAGTCTTGCCTGGGTGATCGGCTTAACGGGATTTTGCTGCAACTTATCTCTTGCCTGCAATGCCGGCGTTGTCCTCACTACTTCCTACCGAACTTAGATCTGTTTCAAGGCAAACCTCACTCGGCTCTGGAGAACGCTGCCAAACAAACGTGGCGCCTGGCAAGAGAGATCCTAACCAACCCGAAAAGTTTGGAAAAACTTTAGAGGACAATTCAATTTAGACCGAAATGTGATTACTCTTTTCAAAATTCTAATTACGTGTAAACTTCCTGTTCGATTCCTATCTAATATTCCATTTGACAGTGCAAACAATCTCCTCCTTAAAAAGGAAGAGTAATACAATGTTTAGGCATCATCTCACTCACCCCTTCAAGGGGAGGAAAAGACGTAGTTGAAGCAGATGGAAGAAAACCCAAACCACAAGTATTAGAAGACTTCTTTACAAAGGATTTGCTCTCGCCCTTGAAAAGTACACAGTAACACCCGGAAAACAACCTGGCTGTAATGCAAGACCACAATGAACACTCTGCCTAACTATCAAAGGATTATAGCAATCCTGGTGATTTAGGTGCATCTGTCTGTGAGTAAACACGATTTGGATATGCCATCTGAAGGAAAGTGTAATGTATATTTTGATTTGTAACAAATATTGTGATCTCACTTTGTCTTTGAAAGTGTGAATGTTGGTGTTTTGTGATTTGGTGAACAGAAGTTAAATTGCCATTTTGGATACTTCCAGACATTTTCCACTAACAAAGATACCATTTAAAGGTAGATTTACTTCCTGGTACTTTCATTGGTCCTTGAAAGTGTCTGAACTTTTTAAAAGTTTACATTTTGTTTCAAATATATTGCTTGTTCTATTTCTAACATTCCATAAATATACTTGAAATGTTATTTAAATATATTCAAAGAAATTTGAATTCAGCTTATATAATAACGCTTGAATATCTGAATTATATATTTGAAAAAATGCACTTGAAATACACTGGATAATTACTTTTGTGATTTAGATTTAAATTTCTGTTGCTGGTTTTTATTTAATTAGAAGCTAATAAATGAGTAAAATAAAAGTTGTCGTGTCTTATTTTAAATTGCCTTTCTGCCAAAAGTTGTAATGTTTTATCTTGAAAATTAAACCAACTTGAATATTTTAAACATTTTGAGAGACATGTTAATGCAATCATTAAAAATAAAACCTTAAAATATTCGAGAGATGCTGTTTTAGTACAGAAGTATAGAAGATAGTGATCGACTCAGCTTCTAACTTACTTATGAGACTATTCTTTTCAACAACAGACATAAATTAAGTCTACCCTTGAAAGTGCGTTCTCTGGGTTAGTATTTCTGTAGCATTTTTGATAACAGAAGAAAAAGATACACGAAGAGAGTAAATATTTCTGAGTTAAAAATCAGACTAACTCATAGAAAATGAACTTAACGAAGTCATGATGAAACTCTCAAAATTTGTATATGAAAATTACCCATGCCAATGAAATAAATGAAAAATAAACTCTACCCTATTTATGTCAAACCTTATTTTATATTGTAAGGGATGCATTAGCCGAATAAATTAATCAGGAATCCAAAATTCTTTCTTACTTCATGGGGGAAGCTAACGATAAAAGCACAAAGACAAATTTTAAATTATTTAAAATTAAATATACTATCTTCAAACTCATTTTTAAAATTCAGGTTTTTTGGAGTTCAAAATGAAAAGAAGCCCTATGACTATCCTTCAGAGGATTTTAATAGTCAACAAGTGCTGTAAGGCTTATCACCTTTGGGCCTTAGGGTAGTTAATCCAGGTGTAGGTGAATTTTAGAATTTCAATTGCTATAGTGTTTTATAATGCCTTATTTCTATATATAAATAATAAAGCTCTGCATATGGATTCATTTTTTTCCCTTGACTATAATAATTGCTTCTGAAAAATACTTTAAAGGAAGGTCTTTACAAAATGATGCTTGAATATCCAGCATGACACTTGTGTTCTTGAATTTAAACATTTACAAATTACATAGCAACATAAAAGTTAAAACAGCAATGAAATTGATTTCAGAATAAAGTGCAGAGGTGTACAGATAACCTAATACTCAGATTTTAAAATCTACATGACAAATACAAATATTTATGCAATTCACATGTTCCAGGATATGTGTTTCTTGGTGTTAAGCCCACAGAAGAATACAACCTTCAAATACTTGACTGTTTGTATACACACTTTAAATCAAAGCTTCTCAGAGAATCAGTTTCTTTCTTTCTTTAAATTCATATATAAACCCACTCTTATTTCAGTAGATGAAAAATGGATGTAATAATGGAGATGCATTTTTATCTAACCCCCCCCCCGTTTTTCTTATAACCTTTCAATGAATAATAATTCACACTTTTGGAAATTAAAAGTGATCCTAATAAGAAATTTCATAAGATCCTTCCTAGTCTTTCCAGACAGCCTGAGATGCTGCACCCCAGGGACTTGGGAGCAATTGGCTTAACTACCAAATCTGCCCAAGTGCACACAAAGGCACTCACAGAGACTGTTAAAATGTGCATGCTCTGGTAATATAGGACTTAAAATCGCTAATATATTCTTCAATCCCATAAAATAGAGGATGTGTTATTTCACTCATTTTCTATGAGAAAGAAGGGCTTGTATTCCCCTCCCCCACTGTCATTTAAAACCAAGCAAAAATGAAAACCTTTTCCTCCCACAAAGCCACCAGTGCTGTACCCAAGATCACTTTAACTCACTTTCGTGTCGATCTTCTTGAAGGCAGGATCATCCTCATCTACCTCGAAGTAGATCTCTGTGGTGGTGATGGAGAGAGTCCCTTTGGCCACCACAACTGGAGCAATGAGCTGGGCAGGAGTGCTGAGAACCACTGGTCCTGAAAGACAAGGGCACTGGGCTTCAGGTTGGAACCCCCGTGACCCCCTCGCTCCCTCCCAGAAGGGCACCAAGGCATTTCATTTTTAAAAGATGCATTAAAAAATGGTACCTGTATTATTCCGCAAGTCTACTTTCAGGTGAGATAAGGCCTGCTTAGCTTTACCACACTGCCTTATAATGAGACCACAGATAAATAATTCTGTAAAAATCCCAGAGGTCAGGATGCCTAATAAGTGACCCTCAGAGAGTGCGTTTGCAACCTCCGCTTAGAAATTCTACATGGTTCGCGGGGCACTGCCATTAACCAATTTAAAAGTGCAGAACCGACTATTAAAGGGCGGATTCTCCACTGAGCACCAGCGACTTTTCCAGAGACCCTAGGCAGTCAGCACTGCCCCCAAAGACCAGTCTTCACGCAAAGCCGTTCCACTCGGCATCAAGGACCCCCAAGGATGGGCAGGAGGAGGTGAAAGAACACCGGAGCTAAATAGAGGAATCCCCCTGCACCAACGCGTTTGTACCTCGCAGCTGAATTACTATCGGCGTCCGAAAGCTCGCCACACACACAAACACGCGCACACGCGGACATTACTTTCCTTATGCAGAAAAGAAGGGAAATTGCAGTAGTGATTTTCTCACCGAGAACTAGTCAAACTGGTGAAATTTTAAGACGCTTGAAACAAAAACGATTCTCAGACAAGTGCCCGAAAAGTGCTGTTTCCCAACTTCAGAAACGAGACCAACTAAGCTTCAGCGAAAGATTTTTTAGAAAGTGTGACTAGTCGGTTGAGGTGCTGATTTCGAATTCTCTCAATCTGGGTTAAGGTTGAAAACTACGAATTTCACGTATTAGAATTTTAATTCAAAGTGATTACTTTAATTGCCCCTTTAAGATTCCTCGAAGGGCAGGCATGCTTTGCTCTTCAGGACTGAAAATACTGGTGTGGAAATCAGAACTAACTCATCCATTTTCCTGTAACAAGGGAGCATTCTACCCCCTTTCATCCCACTCCGCAAATGCTTCAACTCAGAAGAGTCACAGCTACAGCAGGAGAAAGGCAATAAAAAGGTGGTTGTCCTGTGGCCGCTCAGGCCCGGGACACTCCGCGGCGGCTGCGGGAAACCGCCGCGCTCGCGCCGCCACGGCCACGGCCACGGCCACGGCCACGGCCACGGCCACGGCCACGGCGAGCAGGCGCGGTCCGCTCGGGCGCCGGGGCCGGGGCGAAGTGCGCTTCCCGCGAGCAGCGCACCCCGCATCCGCGACCGTCCTGCACAAAGCGCGGCCGTTCCAGCCGCGGGAGGAACAGCGAGGAGTCGACCTGCTCCGGTACTAAAGGGGGTAGATATTGCAGCCAACTGAGTGTCAGCGTCACTCTTCAGCCCCTGATCATAGCCGCCGGGGTCAGACTAACGCCAAGCCCCTACTTTTATTTCAGCGCTGTCAATCCCCCAAGAGCCCGCCCTGGGGGGCCCAACCCCGGGGCGCGCGGACTCTACGGCCTAGGGCTCAGGCGGGCAGTTTCCGCGCGGAGCAGAGCCGAATCGGGGTCTACCTCGACTCCATAAGGTTTTTCTTTCCAAAGGGCGAGGCGGTCGATCTGAAGCGCCACTTTAAAGGCTCATCAATCTTAATCTAGGTTGCTCAAGTAATTATGCCCGAATCTCTTGTACGATTACAAGTGGATTTGGGTTTCTATTCCCCAGGCCCTCCTTTGTGTTTATTGGAGGGTCTGTGCGCGCGCTTGGAGGCGCCTCCTGCCTCCCGCGCCCACCTCGGAATCCCCCAGCGCTCGGGCCGGTTCGAACCGTGCCCTTAACCCTTAAGCAACCAGGACTCTCATTTGGTTGCCTCTTCATATTTGCCTTCTGGGAAAACCCTTTAGGTTGGGCGAGGTAAGAAGGAAAGTGACTTAATTCACATCGGAAACAAAGTGTTCTTATAAATCGTTGGGCCTTGCTAAAATCTCAGAAAAGTCGTCTTTCTACGAGGTAGCTAGATTTCTTGTTCAGTAGAGGTTTCTAGCATTTGGAGAGGAAGAACAGTCAAAGGCATTACAAATGGCGAACTGCTTTTCTTAAAAATAATTAAACATTTAAACAATTATGCTGGAAAAATTTTTACAAATCACGAAACATCAATACCAGACACACTGATTGAGAGCTAGCAGAAATTTTATGTACACATTTCTGTGAACTTTTAACGGAGAACGCATTTTCTCTACTTGGTTCTCTTCATTTTTGATAGGAAAATGTGCTTCCTTTTCATTTTCATCCAATCTCATTCTGTTGAGTTGAGATTTTCAGGGGGTTTCCAAAAGGACTTAGAAGTGGTGCTTCTTTATGAAAGACACATCATGAAATATTCAGCTTTAATAGTGTGTCATTTTTACACTTGTCCTTTGGAAATCTCCAATTACAACTTCCAATTCCATAGCATGTTTAAAGAGCACTGAGTCTTTTTGTTG